GAATGGCGACCCCACTGACGATCATATGAATGACATGTTGGGGTTCCTCCTATTCATTTTTCCTGTTAGCGTCCCTTTCTCTGAAATGATTCTTGGCTCGATCGCTGAGGAACTCTCGAAGGTGGACCTCATTGAATAGATGGGATACCTTCTCCCTTAATTGTATACAATCCCCGATCATGTGACCATGCGTGCCATGATACTTGCACACCAAATTTGGGTTTCTTTGGAAAGGATCGGTCTGTATGGGTCTGGGACACCTAGTATCTTTGATCCTTCCGATTGTCAATACAATGCCCAATGCATTGATGCTAAAGTTATATTCCGATAACCGAGGTTCCTATGTGGGATTGGCATACTTATCAAAACCACTTTTACTCATAAGTCCCCGAGAATTCTGTCCTCGATCACTTCTTCGATCATTCCAGGCAGAATTGCATCCTGAACCATTGTTCCTTCGATCTGCGGTATATGGTTGGTATCGTTCTCTGTTCGACCTTGGCTCCCTGTCGACGTCCCTATGGGTTTTAACTACTGACCACTTTGGATGTACTGAACCGGAAGGGACTCCTAATTGGTCATCATCGACCCTAATCTTCGATTGATATCGATCGTGCACATCTGCCCAAGTTACAGCTGGATACTCGATCAAATTTTGTTTCAACTGACGTGATGCTATCGAACTCCGCTCGTTTAACCTTTGGGTAAAAGCTTGAACGGCCCAATCATCTGTGACCGGTGGTAACTCCCTGCATTCCATTTGAAATCGGGACACGAACTCCCTCAGCATTTTATTATACCTTTGTCTTACCTTGATAAGGTTCGAGTTTCTTGTTGCGGCCTTTATGGCCCCGACATGTGCCTTTATGAAAGAATCTGCTAACATGACAAATGAGTCGATGGAATTTGGTGGCAGGTTGTGATACCAAATTATTGCTCCCTTTGAAACGGTCTCTCCGAACTTTTTCAAGAGCACAAATTTGATTTCATCATCTTTCTAAATCGTTACCCTTGATGGCGCATGTATATGAAGTAACATGCTCGTTGGGATCGGTGGTCCTATTATATTTGGGTATGTCTGGCATACGAAACTTTTTTGGAATAGGCTTCGGAGGCGCACTTGGAGGAAACGACTTTTGTACAAACTTCTTCGAATCCATCCATTTCAAGATTGGCAGTGCCCCGGGTATCTGATCAACTCGAGAGTTGTATGTCTCCACTTTTTTATTATTAACTTTGATTTTCTTCTCTCCTGACTCGATTCTCTTGGTGAGTTCCTCGAGTATTTTCATTATTGCAGGATCGGTCCCCGATCCATTACCATTCGACCTCTCTGCACTGGCTCGGTACGATGAGTGATTTTTGGCTCAACCCCACTCGGAGTTCTATGTTGATTTTGTAGCTGAGCAATAGCGGCCTACTGAGCCTTTAGCATCTCGAATATCACCTGGAGACTAACTCCTCCATTTCCTCTGCACTGTGCACCTTGGCCACCAGATCGGCCTTCCCTGTGTATGCTCCCCTTGGTCCGCGCCTAGGTTCGCATTTAAAGCAACGTGTGAACTGACATCGACTGGATCGACCACTAGTGTTTCCCCGAGATTAGATGGTGGCACCTCGGCTCCTGGAGCAATTACATTGTCGTTCTACCCGTGAAACCCGAGACCATTATCACCATGTGGGGGTGCATTTTGTGAGTTTGCCATGTTTTAACCTGAGAGCAAAAATACTTGACAAGAACAAGCATGAAATAATGTGTGTTATCAGAATCAACACCGAACAATCACTATTATCCTTAGCCCCACGGTGGACGCCAAACTGTTTACCCTAAAATTCGAATAACAATTAAACTTATATTGGTTTTAAGGATATGTGATTCAATCCAATAGCAATTGATAAACAAGGAATTAAATAGATAAATCAGGCGATAGGATAGATCAAACCAATATGCGAGTGGGGTCTCGACCTCGATTCAAGACGGTCTCGAGATAGAGCAATAATAATAACAGTAAAGAAATAAAACAACAATGATGACCAGTAACGAACGGTAAGTAAGATAAAAAGAGCAGTGAATGTGTGTATTCTTATTAGTGAATGATGATGCTTACAAATGAATGAGATCCCTCTTTATATAATAGAGGAATCCTAAATAAGGTACACTTCTAATTATAGTAGGAAACCATATTAACATCTAATTAAGCGCTGTAGATTGATCCGTTACGAGATTCATGCTTCGATCCTCGACCAATAGCGGATATTTCGCCCTTTCTATTATCAAGCTATGCCGATGTCACTCGAAGTCTGCCTCTTTCTGGCCGCAATCGATGTCGACCTCGATCCGGACTCGACGTCCTAGCTCTTCGACGTGACATTCCTATCTCGACAAAAGAATGAAATCGAATAGCCTCGATTTCTACCTTATACAGATATTTAAATCAAAACAATCAATACAAGACACGTGTTTTTCATACCACAAAAATTTTAGTCTAAATTTTGCGAGTTGATGTTAACACTTAGTGCGAATAAATAATTACCGAGTGTCAAATAAGCTAGAATCAATCTACCAAACTAAATTCCACTTCTCAAACAATTTCTCTCGAAATCTTGTTCAGTTACACTCTTCAGTCCATTTGAGCTAATTCTTAAAACCTCCCNCTATAAAAATTAAACTAAATGCTTGTCCTCTCTTCTAATCTCTGTAAATAAGCCTCATCAAAGTCCATTAACTAACAAATTAAATTTCAAACAGTATTAAGAGTGACAAAGGCATCCGAAGTCATGGCTTGCCAAACTTATCGAACTTTGTAAAATCATCGTATTTACATTATTAGGTTACGTTAGTTTTTATTAACAAAGGCCAACGTCACTTTTAGTAGGTAAGGAAAGACTTTTAATCCCATGAAATAATGGTGGGCGCCTTGAAATGGAATAGCATCAATCCATTCCTTTTGTATTATAAGCAAAATTAAACCAAATAAATTATTTTAGACAGTTGGAACCCAAAAAATTCTATAAATGGCTTTCAAAGAATATTAGCTATTTAATCATCATGTAGAATTTCACTTTATTTTTATTGTGGATTTCACAGCGTTCATTCTTGTTCCTTTTCCTTTTCTTTTTCTTTTCAAAAGTTTGAATTTTTTTCTTTCATTAAAATTTTTTGCCAGAGATAAATCTAAAGTTTAAATTTAATGGAATAAATATTTTGAGTCCTTTGAAAATATGAGTTTAAATTTAATATTTATTAATTTTCAAGGATATTCTCCCACAGACACACGGAGACACGCAAACAAACACACACATATCACGTGTGTATGTTTGTATGCATATATTTATGTATGTATGTATGTATGTATGTATGTATGTATGTATATATGTATGTATGTATGCATATAGATAATAAATGCTGAAATAACGCATTCAATTGAATTATTGGTTAGGAGATAGTTAGAGGAGTGACAAATATGGGGCTTTTTTCATTTTTAGCCCGTGCCAGAAATTATTTATATTCGGTAGTCGAAAAAGTATATAAAATTTGTATAATTTATGTATATAACATACAACATGTCTATATATACAAAAAATATATATATCTTTTCAACTATTATTTTGAGAGCGGCTATACAATATTATTTTCCCCTAAATTTGTATCAATGTGATGTAGAACAGATTCATAGGTATTCAAGCCCTTACGCTAATAACTTATTCAACTTTTTCTTTACTTTTGTTTTAACTTGTGCGATGAATGCACAAATCTCAAGCAAAACTTGAGCTTATAAATAAATTACAAGATATAACCCCACATGAATACAATCAATTAGGAGTATTCAGATTTTTCAAAATCTCTTCTTATTTAAAATTAGGCCGATTCATTAGTAGAATATGAAGTATTATTCTAAATAAAAGTTTGGCACTAGCTTTGGTAGCCCTATTGAAGCATCTCTTGTCAAAAAGTAGAGTTTCAAAGTGCTGCCTTTCAAAGAATTCTGCCTGCCTCAGCTTAACTGTATGATTCCGAGCTCATTTCTTGAAAATACACAATAACAAGCCAGTAATTCATTTCTTTCATGAAAGCCTCCGTTCTTTGACGATCATTAATATTTATTTTTCTCTAAAATTAAAGTAGACAGCCGAAATTCTCTTTTTTCCTCTTCTTAGGCATTCAGTATTTGAAATTCACTATCCGATTATTCAGAGGCGGACCTAGGATTTGAAGATGGTGGGGCACATGATCTTATCTAACTTTTAATCTCAAGAGTTCCAAGAAAAGTATATGACAATTTTCAACATAAATACACGTATATATTTAGAACTTTTGTCAAAATTATCACGGTCCGGTGACCCTTTTGCTCTAAGCATAGGTCTGCCTCTGCGATTATTCCAAACTAGCGCCGAGTAACTAAGACCACTAATAGTAGAGGGTTATAAAGTGTTCTATCAAGATATTCTTCATTACCAAGGCTTGAACCTGAGTTAGGTTAGGAGTAGATAACTTAATTTATGAAAAAAGAGATGCTATATTTGCCGAGGTCATATTGCCTGTATGATCTTTTGCAGAGAAGATAGCTGGAGAAAAAAGCCTTGGGAATTTAATATTCGATTATCATATTACGAGAGACGGATCGGATTTAGGTTTTCAATTCTACCAAGTACAACTTTTAAGACTTTTAGTATTGAGTTTATATTTCGTGTCAAAAGTATTGGGTTATAGGAGAAATGTTTTGATCAACCATCGAAACAGTTGATATAACACTTAAATATCTGAAGAAATATCATACACATTGAATATAATCTTAACCTAGAATTTGCCTAACACACAGCCTGGCTGCAAGTCCAAGTAGTATATAGCTAAAATGAGAATATAAATTTGAACAGATCGATTCTTGAACATTATGCTCAACTTTAACATACTTCTGTACGTACAATTAAAGCTAATGCATGAATTGTACTATATCTAAGTAAAAAGAAGAAATTAAGAGAAAGAAATACATAATCAGCGATACTTACAAACCAAGCCAAGTGTTCATTGTCATAAAACTTCACTTTACACACAAATTAACATCAAAACAACAAATTAAGAGCCCCACATATCAAATTAGCTTCCTCACCCTAAAGAAATTAAAACACTCCACTGACCTAAACCTAAGACCTCAAGACACGTGAACATTAATACACAAAGCAAATCAAACTTAAGTTAAAACAAGAAACAACCTAACCAAACAACATTTGAGAAAATCAAATTAATTATTACATATCTCTAACTTCAAACTCATTGCGATTCTTGACAACAATATCGTACATGTGCATGGACTTAAACCTGTTGAAATCCTTTGGTAGTGAAATAAGATGGACTGTTGATCTTTTGTGGTACTGAAGAAGGTCTGGATCATCATAGTACCTCTCCCATCCAAGAGAGTACAACTTCCTTTCGAGGGCAGAATAAGATGTAATTACTTCATTACTAGAAAGGTGTACGAGCACTTTCCGGCGACCGGTAGCGCCGTGGCAGTCGCCGGGGTTCTCTACTAGCCGGACAACTCCATTCTTGAATACCCAAACACCAGACATGTTTGAAAGGAAAAAGGAAGAAAGTGAAAATAGTACTAGTTTTCTTGAAGATGGACTTCAGAAGAAGGGTGAGTCTGTTTTTATAGGGGGTTCTGTGTAATAAAAAAATACATAAGGTGGCGCAAAGTAATTTTTTATGAATAGTAATATGACTGCTGAAGCTTGTACTAAATAGGTTTCCCATTAGCGCATTTGATAATTTTTTAACAATACAACAGCTTAATATCCGCGAGCTTGTAAGTAAATAATATTAATACCTCCTCCGTTCTAATTGGTCGTGAATTTCAAGAGTCAAACAAGTTTTTCTTTGACCTTAATTTTTTCATATGAGCTCTTAAATAATTTGAATTATTAATTATTGTGACTAATAGTACTTTTTATATAGTTTTAGAATATATAAATTTTATTTTAAAAATTTTAAAATTTTTATGTTCGAGGTAAGAATTTTTTACTCTCGAAATTCAAATTGTATCACTTAAATTGAGATTGAGACAAAGGAAGTATTAACTTATCATATTAACATTAAAAAAATAAATTAAAGGAGAATATTTACATGGCCCCAGATTGAAGGGGATACCCTAATTTACCATACTGATAAGAATCTTCTCCTAAACAATTACTACTAATTAACGATCTTATGCTCCTTAAATGAACTTTCTTTTGGTTAATGGGTTCCAAGAATAATTCTTTAATTTTTTTAGTGCAAAGAACAATCCTCTACTCCATTCCTATTTCCATTGCTTACATGAAGCCACTCAGAAAAGGGGGGGAAACTATATATAGTTAGAACCTAATTAAGCAGACATTTCGGAGAATTGTCCAGCTCGGTTGGCNAGCTCGGTTAGCGATGTTTTATTTAATTCTTAATGTTGTAATAAAAAACATTTCATTGAAAAGTAGTATAATATTATTTTCAACTACTATTAATTTTTTGGTTTAACAATTTAGTATCCGGAACCACTGGTCCGACAATCCTAATTCGTGCTACAAAGGTCCATTTAAGGGAGAACGGCTTCCTACCAAAATTTTGATGAAAATAGCACGAGCTAGTCACTTTTCGGATTGGTAATTGAAAAATAGCTAGCGTTTGCAAGGTTATTGAAAAATAACCACTACTTTACTGCAACATAGAAAGTTTCAGCATAATATACTGGAGATTGTTGCACATGTCTATAAACTTCCAACATATTATATATGCTGGAACTCCAGCCCACGAAAAATTCCTGCATAATATACTGGAGATTGGAGCACTTGTGTATGAACTTCCAGCATATTATGCTGGACCAGTATATTATGCTGAAACTCCAGTATATTATACTGAAACTCCAGTATATTATACTTAGATATTTTCCGAATTTTGAACAGTATTTTCGTTCAGATTTATCTTTACATAAAAAGTGGCTAAATTTCGATTACTTTTGAAACGATGACTATTTTCCAATTACCACTTATAAATATGGCTATTTCTGAAATTTACCCAAAATTTTCTTCATTTCAGGGATTGAACATGAGACTGAGTTAAGAGCGGAGGAATCCCCTTCATCCTACGTACCACATCCTTTCGATGGATGCATAAAACTTAGTTTTTAAGATCATAACAACGGCCAAATTAAACATGACAATGGAATTAAAGAATGTTTCCAAATATATGGATACCTTTCTAAAAATGGAACACAACGTGAAGCAAGTGCAAGAAAGGAAGGAATAATAGATAAAACTAAAGCAAGAAAAGTCATCAAAATAAAAATTAAAGAGATGAGAGAAATGGAGATCTCTCCTATCCCATACTTCGGATTGGATAGGATTGAATTAATGCATGAGAGAAGTAAAAGAAAATAAATCAATCTTTCCTTCTCTTCTGTCTCTTTCACTTTCCCCGACTCCCATATCACCATTTCAGTGAACAAAAGGAGAAGAAGTCACATATGCCCATTCATTTGAGGAATGGCCTTAGCTGACCAGAATATGAAATAACTTAATTGTTACTATATACTATACTATTTAGCTCACACTTTTTTCATGATCTGTATGAGAATTCCTTTTGTCAACCCACACCTCCACTGGCAAAATAAGCTACATGATCTGAAAGGAGTTCAATTGGATAAAAAAAGATATTTATGTATACTTAATTATATTTATGAATTATTGAATTTCCTTGACACAAGAAGCTCTTTTAGCATAACGATTCAGTCTTTATAAAAAAATATATCTCGCTTTTTATATTTAGCAACTCCTTAATTCCCGTATTCACATTTTATTCTTAGTTAACACTCTCTTCTATGAATGGGTGGCATATATATTTAAGGTCATAAGATTGAAATGGAACTTTTAATATATGGTGTACACCTTTAGCTTAAAATGATAAGACTCAAAAAATTTCTTTACGTTCTTAAACTTTGTATTTAGCTAGGTAAATTACATAAAATGAAACGGAGGCGTGTCCGAACCAAGCACCAATTTGAGTGTCTACGCTTACAAAACCCAAAATAACATGGGTAATCACCTGATTCCAGAAGGATAAATCCATATTTAAACGTCAATTATATCACAATCAATAATCAATATTCGCTCGCAGTATCCTTAGTGCCAAAATTCTCAACTTTCCTCAATATCAAACTCTCTAGAGTCATGTATATACATATTAAATAATATAATTAAGATGCACCAGAACATATTAATAAAATACGGATGAGTACTCGGATGGAAAAAGAATGACTACGGTTTATAAGTTTCAAAAAATTAAAAATGCAAATTATGAAATTGAATTTCAATTGTGGAAGCATATCAATTGGTCGAACCCTAAAGTGACTTACTAGAATTTCTGATTCCATCTCCACAAGGCCTTTAATTTTATCCAATTATGCACGAAAGGAACAAAGCGGGGGGAGTGGGGATTAGCCAAGTGGCAAGTCGATCTTTTTTTAATCTCGCACGGTACACGTGTTGATAAGGCTAGCTCTTATCTGCACATGTAAATAATGGCTCCCAAAGCAATTACTCTTTTGTGAGGTTAGGGTTCAGTTGAAGTNCTTATCTGCACATGTAAATAATGGTTCCCAAAGCAATTACACTTTTGTCAGAGAGATTGGGGTTCACTTGAAGTTGCAGTGCATGCAGAGTAGTTTTGGATTCTTGAAATTTGATGAGACCCTCCCACAACCTTTCTTTTGGATTCTTTTAGGAGCCGCTTGGTAAGGATATTATTATTAGGAGTAGCTAAAATCACGATAACTCTTATACCAAAATTATGAAATTATCAATCTCATGTAAAAATAGTAGCTTGATGAATAAAAATTTTCGCATTTATGCAGAGTCCTCAGAAGAGCCGCGCTCCTAAGGGTATAATGTAAATAGCCTATGCTAATAGTGCTTGCTTCCACAGTTTATGTTTTATAAGTTACACGAATATAACTTTATCATATCTATGCAACATGCGGGTGGTTTTGAACCAAACAACCCCGTATTGTATACCTAATGATCGAGTGATGACATGACATATCATCATTGCGTTCTCATGTCATCCTCAATTCTTATCTAATCGCTCCCTCCGTTTCGATTTATGTGAACTTGTTTGACTGAGCACAAAATTTAAGAAAAAATAAAGACTTTTGAAATTTGTAGTCCTAAACAAGTCGAAAAAGGGCCCAGAGTTTTGTGTGGTAATAAAAGCTCCTCATTAAGGGTAGAATTCTAAGTTTAAGCTAAATTGTTACCAAATTTAGAAAAGGGTCATTCTTTTTGGAACGAAGCAAAAAAGAAAATAAGTTCACATAAACTGAAACAGAGGGAGTATATGATTAAAAAAAATTGCTTGCACCTCCTCCAAGTTACTAATTCCATGATAAAAATTTAAACAAAATCGAAATCTCTATTTCATTCTCGAAACTTTCTTCTAATTTTTCCCCAAAATACAATTGCATGCTAAGGCACCAATGTTTTAGGCATTATTGATGACTCCTAATCTACCTAGACGCCTAGGCCCTAGCTCTATATTTTTAAGGTAGATTGATGTGAAGAAAAGTAAATGTCCTATATAAAGACGGAAGGAGATTAATAGCCAGTTTGGCCAAGCTTTTTTTTTAGGCCAAAAGTGTTTTTCTTTTTTAGCCAAAAGCACTTTTGGCCAAAAATTGAGGTGTTTGGCCAAGCTTTTGGAAGGAAATAAAAGTGCTTTTGAGGAGAAGCAGAAGCAGTTTTGGAACAGATGTGATAACTAAATTCTGTATTCCAAGGCACTAAAACCTCCCTTTTGTCTTACCTCGATTTGCATGCGCACTCCGGACGTGTATCCGAAAAGCCATTATGTGAAAATTTGTAAAAATTGATGAATTTTGCTTTTAAAATGAATTTAGGTTAACTTTGGTCAACATTTTGGATAAGGGGACCCGGACCCGTGATTTGACGGTCCCGAAGGGTCCATAAGAAAATATAGGACTTGGGCGTATGCCCGGAATCGAATTCCGAGGTCTCAAGCGTGAGAAATGAATTTTTGAAGAAAATTGTTTAACTGAAAATTTTAGAGTTTTTGGAAATTTGAACGTAATTAAATTTGATGGTATCGGGCCCGTATTTTGGTTCCGGAGCCCGGTACAAGTCTTAAATATGATTTAAGTTGAGCCTGTAAAGTTTGGTAAGAAACGAACTTGAAATGACGTGAATCGGACCTTCAGTTGTGAAATTTGAAACTTAAGTGTTCTTGAGATTTTCCTTAGATTTTGATGCTAAATTCGTTGTTAAAGGTGTTAATTTGGCGATTTAATCGCACGAATAAGTCCATATGATGTTTTTGGGTTAGTATGCATATTTGGTTTGGAGCCCCGAGGGCTCGGGTGAGTTTCGGATGGGTTTCGGGATATTTTTAAAGTTAGAAAAGTTGCAGGTTTACTGTCGCAGGTGCACATAGGTTTTGTTCTTCGCGTTCGCATGGTCCCACTCGCCAACGCGTAAGGCAAACTTCCTCAGGTGCCAGTTTGTTCTTCGCGAACGCGGAGCTTAGGATATGAACACGAAGTTGTGGGGGGAGTACCCTTCGCGAACGCGTTCAGGCACTCGC